GGAAACCTGGTAAGCTTGACAGGAAAATACTTTTCACGAATAGAGTCTCAGAATATATGTAATGAAGGGAAAAACTATCACACACATAGTAGAGTGTGATCTTGAAGAATTCAATTTTTCAAGATAAAATGTCCTATAGTAAAACTTTATCGGCAATTGTTCCGTATTAAATACCCAGAGGCTTCAGGACTCACCATCAGGAAAATCTCGCTTGCTGGCCTCGAATTTTCGTCCGAAGATTTTCTCGGATATCTAACCATTTCAACATTGTTATGACATGAACTTTAAAAAAAATGAAAAACCGTGTTGATATAAGTTACTATTTCGAAATCAAAGTTCTCCCATTTAGATCCTCCCATCACCTCAAGCAACACCAACTAAATCGCGAACACCATTACGAAATTGGTTCATATCAATGAAAACCAGGTAAGGGCAAAATTGACCACGAACCCCATGTTCAGATTATCGAGCAGTCCGCATTGTCAGTTCACAAAAGGCGCCGCGGAATCCCAACAATCTTGTGAACTTGTGGCCTTTGCAATTTCCCTAATCACCCGGAGAAGAAATGAAGTAACGGATAATTACGAGAAAAATTGCAGGATCCATGAAAACGTAAAACTGCGCTTGACCTCACAGAAATTTCATAATCCCGCTCCATTCATGACATCACTGGAAAAATAAGTGTTTACAGCCAATACTAGTCTACCGTGCATTTTGCGCCAAATTCCACCTCAATTCTTGACAAGGCTTCACGAGGTAATTCACAACCATGCTCTCATGGATGCCATACACTTGGCTAATAACTTACTCTACTACTCCCAGCCCCACCCCGCTCCCCTCCTCCATACTCACTTTATACTCACTGAACGTGAGCTGCTTCCCAACGTTCAATGAGCGTAAACCACAACAAATTGATTGGTTTTTGTTCTTCTAAGAAGTTAGCGGTAAATAAAATAACAATAACAATCATTAACAACAAATTCAGACGCAATCGACTGAAAATCGCTGGATCAACGGAAGACTTGCTATCATTGACGTCATCTGACGACAAGTCACTCAAGTGAGTCACACCAAAAAATTATATATCATCAACAGCATCAGAGACCAAAGAGCAATATCTTATCGATTTTTTTTGAAAACTGACGCAAGCTACACGAACCATGATTCTTCCCCGGAAAAACAGAGTGTAATTAAGAGCATTCCCGAGAACATTCACCGCTATCAGCTCAATTTGTCAGCTGTCTGATCCATATGCGATCCATGCATTCCACTGATTCATTCCCCCAGAATGTCAGCGTCGCCACAATCTGGCGCCCCACCAGATGGTGTAGTCACATCGGGGCTAAATGTTTTGGCATATGTAGAAAAGGTTAATGAAAGGTAAATAGGCAAAACTGCCGGTATGTTAGTCATCGGAAAATGCTACACATTTGATTTCCATTCACATACGAGAAGCGCAAGTTGAACACTAGTAATCCTTCTATTTTATAAAGCGCTAACTTTGTGTGTCGGTTTGTATGTCTGTATGTGTATGTATGTATGTGTGTCCGTCCGCAAAATGAAGTGAGTGAGAAGGAAGCTCATGGGATAAACAAACCGCTAACAGAATCATGTAGCTCACAGGACTTTAGCTATTAGTGTTTTGCAATGGCATGATTGTGATAGCATCCCCAACGGCTATATAAACACGCACTTAGCACACTTTCGGTCATTCGACAAGGTGATGCTGTGGTAGCCGGCGAGCAGAGGGGAACGAGGGGAGAGTAAGGAGAGGAGGGAGAAGGGAAAGCTTACGCAAGGTAGGGAGGTTCCGGCGCTTGCCGGGGGACCAATCTGGTGATTCAAATAATAGCAAACCATAGTCGGCGTTTTCACCCGAGCCATTCCTTCGCCATTTCACCGACCCTCGGAGAATCAGAGGTTGCTTAACCTGTATGGGATGCAATCCACGAATCATGCAGCTAAGTATGTATTAGGCTATCCCATAAGTTAGTGCCACTTTTTTGCACCTCATGCCACAACTTCATTTAGCGATTTCTGAATATGACCTCAGTAGAAAACCCACTTTGTGTAGTGACCAGTACGTGAACCAGGCCCGCAGCTGCTTTCTACGGATTAAAAATCGAAAAAGAAGAGAGCCATGTTGTCCACACTTTGATTACTAGGCCGCAAATTGGTCGAAGCCAGGAGCA